CGAAAAACGCTCATTGATGACTAAAAATGATGAATTATATACTATAATTTACGAAATATAAACCTGAAGTTATATTAATTAGCATTTATTATGAGTTATGAAATTAAAATGGAAAAAAAAACATATCTTCTACTTAACTTTACGTCAAACTAAATTTTATTTTATGTAGGTATCAAAACTAATCATTAAATTATATAAACATGACGTATATGTGTATAAATGCTAGGTGTATAGGTAAGATGTAATATTACGTACATCATATAAGACGACGTATAAGTGCAAGTTCATTTTATGAATAACGTAGATAGTTAATTTAATTTGATACGGTATCAATCACAGTGAATCTACTTTAATATTAATTTACGCATTTCGTTTTTTAACATGATATTTCATGTATTATATATTTTGAATATCTATCAAATAAAAAATTAATAAAAAAAAAACAGTAAATGTATAAATATATTGTTTAAATTCGTGTAACCTGATTAGAATGCGAAAGATGTTGGTATTTTTATTTTTCACTTCAATTTTTAAGTAAAGTATCTTTATTAAATAAAACGCCTCATCCGTTTAAGTAGACTCTGTCTAACAATCATACGACATGGTAAATCTGCGTTCGAAAGAATCAGTTTTGTATTTTTAGCTTTTGCAATAGACTAATCTTCCATCAGAATTAAACGTCGTTTTAATTACATAAGTGAGCTATGACTGTACAAGATGTTACGATTTGAAAAAAACTCATAACTCGCTGAAAAAATAAACTATCTCAAAAACCCTACAGACAATATTCTTCGCTATAACGTTGGGTCAAAAATGTCATTCTACACTCGTACTAAAGCTAATAACAGCGAACTGATTTTCCTGAACGCAGATTTCTCATGTAATCCATAAGACGGAAACCCAAATGTGGGTGTGTCGTCTTCGTAAAACCGACGACACACCTGCGCGCATCTTGGTATAATCTAATGTTGTAACGTAACTCAAATGCACGATTGTGTTCAGTGTTACTGGCAACGTGTTGATGTGTTACGCGTTTTTTTTTTGAACTCGATGGATTTTTCAATAGATATCGGCCAATGATCGGTTCTACGATTTCGCCAGAGCGTCGTAAAGGTGATCGTTTCGATTAAGCGCATAACAGCTACACCTAGATAGGCAATCTAAATGAATATTTACAAAAATTAACAATTTATAATTAATATCCGTCCATTACAAATTAGTAATTTTAAATTACATAACATAAATTAGTTTTGCATGCATTTATATATCATTTCTTATCATAACATTATTTTTATTAATTTATGCATCTTACCTTTTTTTCTTCGTACTACACTTTCATGTCAATAACCATAGTCGCATTTAATTTGGGTTGTATTATCCAAAAGTATACGTCTTCGTATAATTTTTTTTTCTTTTACCATTGTAGTTGTATTTTTTCCTCCCGCAGTATTTTACGACTTTCATCTATCTGATCGTATTTTCTTAATCATGGTATCTAATTGGTACAACGAATACTTAGGGTATAGATTTTGAGTACCATTGAAAATAGTTAAACCTCATTCTTTCAGCTAGTGTTCTGATTATTCTTTTCTCGTCAGTAGTTGGTCGGTCAAAATGATTACTGTAGATTTACTGTGGTTTATAGTCATCATCTCGTTTGCTCAAATTTTCAAATTTTAGTTTCTCTGAAAAGTTTTTTGTGTACGTTTTTCTTTCGTCCCGTTTTCCAAAAACTCATTTAGAGACGTATTATTACTTCTGAATAGTGTTCTCATGTACGAACACTATTATTGTTTTCTAATTTATTTCGTTTCGTCGAGCGCAAAAGATTTTCTTCCGCATATTTCAATGTAACCCATATGGTATTCCGTTATACATTAGCACACCAATGAGGGCACGGGTGCATCCAGGAAATTACATAAAATTAAACTGTACCGTTATCATAATGTTACGACAATTTTAGTAACTACTTATTGGTATTTTAAAACCGTTTAAAAGACGATGGTCGTCATTTGTTGCGTAATAACCACATAATCTGTTGTACATCATCGATATTGAGAACGAGGAATCGAGAGAATATACCCGGTGTACGAGTGTGTAATATTAACGCGCATCGATATAGCGGCTCTATAACAATATATAATAGTATATAATCTATGTTATATCATGTCACGTGTAAACGGCAGAATCGGGTAAACATTTTTAAAGCTAGCGAATGGTGGCCTGCAACAGGGATTTATTTTTTATTTTTCATTGTGGTCGTTCACATTATTATATTATTCTATTACGTGTGAACCGGCACGAAAAGTTCTTCGTACATTCCTTTTATACTGCAATCATCGCACACACCGGCTAATATTCTGTTTGACTTTGAAATATATATATATATATATATATATAATATATCATAAAATTGTCGATAGTGAAATGATTCTGTACAAATGTGCGATTTTCGGTTTTTGTTATGATTTCCAATTATAAATACAATCAATTTACTTACATAATATTCAAATATTGTGTTTTTATCGTTGATTATAAAAATTTACGACACAATGATCGTTCATAATATTGAATGCACATGAAATAGTACTGTTTGAATTAATATTAAATAATATGACAATCGGTTCTCATTTTATAACAACTTAAATGTATTCATCTCAATGTTCGTCAGCATACCTACAGATTGTTCGATTTTCCACCTGTTTATTATTTCATACTTAATAAAAATATAATTGTGTTATGAGTAAATTTATAAATAATTTTTTATTGTTAAAAATAAAACCGAGTACCATATTACATATTTTATTCATATTTTTTCTACGACATAATCTAAACACAATAATAATTTAAAATGTAAACTACATACACTCGTATGATACATCTATGAAAATATAATTATAATATTATAGTTAGTTCAGGTATCTTATTCTTAAAAAATTACAAATCAACGTCGGTAGCTATATTTTTTTTCAAATTTGATATTTTCAATTGAAGTAAAGATAAATAACTGGTTACTTACAATGTACCCGACAACGATATCTATACCAAACCTAATATCAATCATCCGTTGAATAGTTATTATTACCATTACTACGAATCCTTAACAATGATTAAAAAAATAAAAAACTTACAAACGCGAATAAGATCAAACGCTCGGATGATAGCAATCGATGAAAAAATAAACATATTTAAAACGTTCGAATGATATTTATTTGATCACAAATAGTAATATAATAATAATAATAATAATAATAGGTAGTTCTCGAACATTTCAATAATATTTAAGTATACATGTTCTATTACAATATTTCTTTCTAATCAAACTAATGATGACAGTTTATATTTTGTTTTACAATTTTAATCGTTTATTATGACGAGTTATATTAAAAAAAATCACTTAATAATATCAAAATGACTAAACGTTACTCGAAAATATTATAAACTTATAAACTACACGTAAACTCGTAGCCTACGAACGATAATTGTAATATTTTATAACTACACACACTTTTGGAATGTTACTTCGATATAATGAAATGTAAACCGTAAATAAACGGTTCATCGTGTTACAATAATAACATGTGCACGACGCGAAGCCGATGCTTTTATTCGTACCAACCGAACTCTCGTCGCTTTCCGCTGCCACGATATCGGCATGGATCAACCCTGATACATCCGTGTATTGTCACTGTTGCGGGTTTGTTCCCGCCGTTAATACAGGTACCGCGTCTGCAGCATTAATTGTCCCGTCGTTGTGTCGCTCATCATCAATGGGATACGGCGGGCTTGTTCGCACGCGAATCAATTAATCATAACATTTACTATTCTCGGCCCCGGTCGATATGCGCGTAACAATAGTGATGACAATATAGTACTACTAATAACGATTATTATTATAAATGTGACTTACGTCCAAAAATCGAATTTTTAAAAAGGAACATAATAATATTTTAATCCACACGTAACATTAACATGATATAAATATTATAAGTATGTTACGTATGTACGTAGCGTATAATAATAATAATCATTGTACGAGGACACTATTTACGAGTGGAAAAAACTAGCACGGGAAAAAAGGAGAGAAATAAGTGTTTTTTTTTCTTTTTTTTTTTACACGTTGCACAACGATCCTTCGTTTCTCGTCTAGATTTGTTTATAGCTCCTCCGTCGTCTGTACACACACAGTGGTTGTGGATAACGGTGTGTCTCGTAGTAGCTCTCCGATGTGTCGACGGAAACTAAACTCACCTGCACAACAATTTATAGGTTAAATGCGATTGGGTCGAACTACGGATCGGGAATACCTGGCCTGTCAAACCCTTTGCGATTATTTAGTACGGGACAGCTGAAATTGTACGATAGGCAATTACATATTCACTCACACGCGGTAGCCTGTCGTCCATGAAATCCCGGTTTCGGCCCTGACATTTTAAGGAAGGATCGATGACGACCACTAGCACCACACCTCAAGCTTTTCGAGTGCACCGCACGAGTACCGTTATCGAGCGTTATTACCTACGCGGAGTATCATCTCGCCGAGTTCATTCGGCGTCCAGCACCTGTCCCGCGACCGCCGGCGTCGCTAACAAAGTTCACTCGACCAGAAACCAAATCCGACAGGTTTCCCTAGCCACTGTCGACCGGGCTTGTGGTTCATACCGTTCGATCGTCACCGTCAATTACCCGTTCCAGGAACCGCCACGACTACTACTAATCTTTGCACTCACCAACACATGTCGCGGGGTTTGTGGTTGGGGGGAGATATTATTAACCGATAAACGCTACCCCAAGTAAACGCACGAACGCGTGGGTAACCGTTTCGGATGGGTGACCATGCCCTCAATTTTTCAAGAAAAAAAATACCCCCAAAATTAAACAAAATTAAACTTTAGCGCCAACGTTACGCCCTACTGCCACCGTGCGAAACCAATCGTCGACCAAGGTTCGGCAGATCCGGTAACGGGTAGCAGAAAAAAAAATGAAACCATACCTTTGCATCATACAAACGTGATCGCTCCATCCCTGTCTGCGGCTCTTATAAGCGGCTCGTTTACGTCGTCCACAGCGCACAGCGACGACATGTCCGTCATGTCGATGCAGTCCGCGGCCATGGGCGTGACCGGGGCCGAGTTGACCCTGGGAAAACCGGGAATCTTAGTCGGGGCGTGGAGTGCGTGACACGGTGTCGCTCGCTTGCTGGCCACGGCCGCCGTGGTCACCGCGGCCGTCTGCATCGCCGGTGCCGCCTGATCGAAGTGGTCGATGCACGGGCACGACACGCTCAGGTGCCGGTCGCAACAGTACTCGTCTTCCTCGGCCACGCCCGACGGCCGTCTCCTCACCGGCGACCCATCGTCGTGCTGCGCGGCGAACCTCAACTTTTTCGGTGACTCCAGGCTGCAGCATCTGCAACCACCGCAACGACAATACGACATGAAAACCAACGATCACGTATTCATTTACGCGCACGCCCATCTGCCGATATGCCAATGTCGTCCGATAGCTACGACGATCGCGAACGCTCTCACACCCCCCCCCACCCATCCACTCGAACCCACCGATCGGAATAATTTTTCACCCGATTTATCCGATGACATAGTCGAGGCGTTGGTGATTTTTTTTTTCTTCATACTATCGTTCGACCAGTTTCGTCAACGCGTACGATGTGCTGGTTTTTAGAAAAATAATTCAAACACAGCATACGCAATATACAGATTTGAGAAAAACAAAAAACAAAATAGTCGGTAAATAACTGAAATGAAAAACTGATTATTTTTTAAATCATTTTTTTTTTTTTTTTTGTATTGAATAAAATAAAATATTCATATTAGTGTCTTTTGTGAATAAATAAATTAAATTAACTTGAAGATTAACTTGAAGTTCCCACTTTATTTAAATTAGTGAGTTCAATATATATAACACAATGTTCTGTCAAAATTATGGTAAATAATTTATATCTAAGATTTATATTATTATTATTATTATTATTATTATTATTATATTGGTATTTATAAAAATAAAATATAAATAAACTAAACCAATATTACTATGAAATTTACTCGTATAGTATATAAAGTAAAAATATAATTAACTGATTTTAATAAGTATTATTTTATATTTTTCATACTTAAATAAACAAAAAAAATACGGTCAATTATTAAAAGTAAACCCCTCTTACCCCACGGCTGACTATGTTACAATAAACAAGACTGATGTTTTTTACTATATAAGTTTGAAAGTATTTGCATAAAACGCTTTTGTTAAAACTTCTTAAATTATTAATTTAATTGATAGTAGAATAAATACTTTTAACTTTTTTTAATAAAAAAGTACAGTTCACGACGATTTTTAAATGAAAAAATATTTAATTCGATTTTTCTTTGTGCACAGTAATGGAAAATAATATTAACGTGCTTTATGACATCAAAATAAAAACTTCTCTTATCGTTTTACATCTGTTGAACACGAATTTACTTTTAAATATAAATTTATGAAATTTTGTAAACTTTAAACTTATTGCATAATTTTATTAAGTGCTTTGTTTATTTTTAATGTTATTATGGTTATTATACAAACTATAAAAATTATAATTTGAATTTTGGTTTTAATTTCGAATATCCACTAGTTATGGAATTGCTTAATGCATTTACTTTATTTACTTAATCAAAAACATAAATAATTTAGCTTTAATTAAACTAAAAAAAGGGTAATATTTTTAAGTACAAAATCAATAGACAATAAATTATATTTTATTAAGCCATACTAGTGCTTTCATATATATATATCGAATGTAAAACAATTTAATGAATTTAAAAATAAAGAAATGCTACATGGCTTTGAATAGTCGCCAATCCATAGATGACATAGTGATTCACTAAGAATTTAAGCTAAAATACAGCCCATGTTCTAAAACTATTTTTACTGAGTGATTATTCCTACAATCTTATAAGCTCATTTTCCCAAACATTAAACATTTTTGTTGAAAATATCCTCAAAAAATAGTTTTATTGCATTTTTAATTTTAACGTACTTAAAATATAATCGATGTGTCCAGTACATAAATTATACTATCATGCGATCTCAAAACGTGTTTTATGAAAAAAAATTACAAGAAACACAAACTGTAAAACAAATGTCTTAAGCGACCTTGCTGGAAGGCGTAAAATGAATATTTATATTTTATCAAAGCATTCTACCCAAATTTAACCCATTCCACTAAACAAGGCAGCTGGTCAAAGTTTATCTCCGTTCGGTCATATTTGTCTACCCACAACACACGTTGGTATTTCTTCGCGGGTTAAGGATTTTTCTTTTCCGAAGGATGGTTAAGGTTAAAAGAAGGGCAAGTAACCCAGCCCGTAACAAGGACCTCCACATGTGTGCAGTAGCATCCGGAAACGGAACGTGGTCATAGGCGTGCACAGACTTCTACTTCCAGTCGAGCTTGAATATAATTAATGCCCCAATACTTAGACTGTACCCCTAATTTTTTTCTAACACTTCAACATAATAGATTCTGTTGTAAATTAAAAAAAAATTTAGTATTTATATCCATACATAGAATCAAGTATTATATTGCTAATTTTTAAAGTTAAAAGTAAAACTTTAAATTCTTTAAAATCAAATGATATAAATACAATTAATTGATTTCCACAAACATATCAAAATATATATAGACATTTTACTGTGGCTAGTTTAAATTTTACTATGCCCCCAAAAAAATGCCGGTCATACCGGGGATCGCCCGGCTCGCCCCATGCGCACGCCTATGGACGTGGTAGCAGGGATCAGCTGAACACAAAGTCTGCGTATGCGTTATAAACAATGATGTATTCACAGCACGGCACGTGTAATATATTAATATTATGATAAAATAAAACTGATACAAGTCCACAGACTTCAAAATACCGTATTTCAAATATGGTATGTGGCGTGTAAATTATTCCGATTGCGGTTTATAAATCAATATCGCTGAAACATATTATAATGAATAAACAACGAACAATTGAAAATACACGGTGTCGCGTTCGATAAATGGTGCTCTAATAACAATTTCGTATCATTACAGATACACTACTTTAAAATAGCTGCCGTGGTTAGTGAATCATCCAGTACACGTGCTGTATATGTCTCATGGGACGCGTATATAAATTACATAAACGAAATGATTGATGCGCCGACCTTAAGCAGCCCACTTCCTTCGCTTGTAATTGAGTCTAGTGTAAATCCATGTTTTTAAAATAGCCAAAATAACATACGTTTCAAAAGAAAAAAGAACATAATATCATGATATACTTTCGGGACAGCTTTTGCGTGTATAATATTATATTGTATAATTGTTAAAAACTCGATCCAAGATTTCTGGAACTAGCAATTGGTACATATATTTTGATAAAAAGGGTTAAAAGATATTTAATATAACAATAAATGCGTACGCGATCCGTTATAACACCATAGTATAGCCTATTTTACGCCGATAATATATGGCAAAACATTCGGAAGAAACGAACTTAAAAATATATCCAATTAACAATAAATAATTACGGTTCGACACGATTATTATTTATTATTGCTTATGCTTCGTTTAAATCATTACCCTAAATGTTTCGTGGTTGAATATTACAAATCTAATCAGCCAATGATAATAATAACCGTTTAAAGTGGACGGCACAAATATGCACTATTGATGTAACAGTACCTCATGTAGGTAATAATGTTAGTGATCGTTTTCTCGTTTATGTTTTAGTATGTTACATGCGCATTTACCAAAAGATTTTACATACCCTAGATCCATAAATTACTCATTGCAACAATGTATCATGTTTTATTTAATGACTAGAAATTAGTAGACAATTTGAAGATTTTATTCGGATATTATCTGTTGACTTCGAATATCTGATTACCTTGATTAGTTAGGATAGGTTAGTTAATTCACATAAGTGATATAAATATCCAATGACCAATGGCCATAAAAACTATGATTCTTAAATAAAATAAATATTTATAATTTATAAAAATAAAAATTATATCCAGTTCTTGACTTGGAGGGAAAAAACTGAGTGTCCCAACTAAATTATCAGATATTTTGTCATACCCATACTATTTTATCACATAGAAATGCACGATGCTTTATTTAATTTTAGTTTTTACAAAAATACAAAAAGTTAATATTTTTTAAAAAAAAAAACCGTTAACAAAATATGTAGGTATACTTAAGTATTAGTTTTTGACACAGCGATTCGTGATAAATGATAATAATCAAACCCGAATATCGAAAATTATTATGTCTTATTATTTTGTTATAATTATAATTTTGGACTGGTTTTAGTCTCTTTAGACCAATAATATACATATTATGTTTCTATATTGAGACTATGGTTGAATATTTTAAGCTTAGTATATTAAGTTATGAAATATTCGTCAGTTTTTGGTAATTTGTTTAAGGGTGTCTTAAGGGAGAGTGAACACGGTTATGTTCAGTTTTTAATCAGATAGGGACGCAAAATTTATATGTGTCATTAGAGTACCTCAACTATTTTTTTTCCAAGCATTGATCATATCATATAAATACATGTTACATGGATAAATGCATAATCAATAGATGTGAATTATTGCAACATGTTAATTTTGTATAGATACATATTTATTTCGGTTGCCTATCGTGGTATAGCATATATATATATAGGTATAGCTACCTTATGCTTATTAAGAGCGATGGCCGATAGCAGACGAACACACAAGCGCAACGATCTGACCGATTGTTCAACCGACAATCGTCAAAAAAACCCGTTGCAACACGATTGTGCAATTTTTTCTTTTTTGACCCGACTAATTATACCACGATTGCGCAAAAAATTTGTAATCGCGCACCAAATTATGTGTATATACAATGTATAATAATTTATGTACAACATAAAATAATGTATAGAATACATACTTTCTATAATTTGCATATACATGCACTCAAAATATTAATTCGCAAAATGCACTTTTTCAAAATCGAAATGAAAAGTTAAAAGAGTTAATGATAGTTATAATAATAATATCGACAAATGACTATCAGTTAAGAAAAAAAAAACAGTTTTTAATAAAAAAAATATCGACTATTGAACATATCAGTAAACACATTTACCATACATGTAATTTAGAAAAAAAAACAATTTTTAACCAAGCCAACGATGATAATTTGTCGACAGTCCTAAGCCTGTAATAATTGGGGAGAAAAACTGAATTAATAGGTAATAAGTTTGTGTGCATGTATATGAAAATTTCAATGTAGAAAGTATGTATTGTACACATTATTTTATGTTATACATAAATTATTATACATAGTATATACACATATTATTATTTGGTGTGCAATAGTGATGTGATTTTATCAGGTAAAATGGGATCGGGGCGCAATCGTGATGTAATTAGACGGGTCAAAAAAGGAAAAATTGCGCAATCGTGTTGCAGCCAAAAATCCACCGAATTTGGAACTCGGAGTATTACAATAAATCATGTTGCAGCTTCTGCAACGTTACATTACACCAAAACGCGAGCACATGTCTTATTAATGAAGCCGATATGCGTGTGCATATCGTGATTATTCGTAGAAAACACACCTGGACAGTGGACCGTTGATGGTCGTCTTGGGGACCTTTAACGAGCTCCGTGGTCCTTCTTTTACGTTCTTTGGCTGTTTCGACGACTTGCGGTGCTTACGACCGGTTTGCTGTTCCCGTCTCTGAGCTCTGAACTCATCCCTTTTGAGCCTATGTAAGTGGTCCTCGCCCACCAGCCAATAGGTGCGCACGTTACCCTTTCCCTTCATCTCGACCAGTCCCCGTTCCGTTGTCTGATAGCCGCCTAGCCGTTCCAACAGGGTCCGACATTCTTGCGAACAGTGAATCTTTAACGCTGAAAAACCACGTACCCGAGAACGCCGTTAGTTCGTGGAGGTAATATAACATAATACAATACAATATTATAGTAAATATACTGTTAACAACAAACACCCACGCACGGCCGATCGAATGGGTAAAATATTATTTTCGCATTGAATGCACAACGATTGATATAAATTTTGTTCGACCGACCGCACACCGACCTATTATCGTGTATGATTTATATAACGCGTTTGTAAAAGATAAAACCAAATTCTTATATTTACCTTGTCCAGTGGATTCCATTCGACTAGTCGTATTCACCGTATCGCCGAACAAACAATATCTGGGCATTTTCAAACCGACCACACCGGCGCAAACTGGACCTGAAATTATTTATAGATAATATTTCAATTATAACCCGAGGTTCATTAATGAAGACAAAGAATATAAATTAATAAATATTTTCGTTTTGTAAATAAAAAAATAAAAATGAATCTATGATTTCCAGATGTTTTAATAAATTATTCCGAATAAAACTTATAGATTCCGTACAAAATCTAACTACGAAAATTTAAATTTTGATAAAGTAGTTCCTCGTCATTCCTGACAGAAAATATAAAAATGACAGGTATTTGGAAATTAATTTATTGTTGTTTACTCTTCGACTAAAACGTCAACTTTTACAGGATAATCGCGAATACGAGATATTGATTTTTTTTAGTTTTTTTTTTTTTTTTTTTTTTGTTTCAAAACTTTTAAGCTCGTTAAAATAAAAATTATTCTCACCAGAATGTATTCCGATTCTAAGCCTTAAAGTATCGTACGGCCTGTGTCTGATTTGAAATTTTTTCACGGCTTCTAGTAAATGTAACGACATTGTAGCAATTTCTGCAGCATGCATGTCACCGTTTTTAATAGGCAAACCGCTAACCTAAAATGTAAAAACATTAAAGACCAGAAAAAAACAAAAATGAATAACCTGAGCATTTGACTTCACGTGTAAGGTAATTTATATGCTCACCACCATGTACGCATCTCCGATCGTTTCTACTTTGTAGACGTCGTAATTCTCTATTATGGAATCGAAGCACGTATACAAGTCGTTCAAAAAATCAACTACCTACGAAAAAAAAAGCATACACACGAACCCAAAATCGAGTACTTCTAGTTTCACTATCGCAACCAAGATGAAAGGTATAGGTACGTACTTGGAACGGAGTGCTTTCCGCCGACATAGAAGTGAAACCAACGATGTCACTAAAATAAATTGTTACGCAATCGAAATTTTCAGCTTGCACTTTGTGTCCTCTTTTTAATTGCTCGGCCACGTACTTTGGTAACATTTCGTATAGTAAAGCATCTATTTTATGAAATACAAATGGTAGTTTTAAAATGTACTTATTTTTTAAAATCGTAATTTAAAATACCAGTTTTTTTCTTTTCCTCCACTAGCTGGTCGGTTCGCTCGTCAACCAATACCTCCAAATTATTTGCATATTTTTCCATCATCGCCATCATATTATCAAAAATATTTGGTCTCCTAAAACGCATTTTCATTGTGAATTATGGAAATCGTTTATAAATATTACACTAAAGAAATATATTTTTTCACGATGATTAATGACTTTTATGAACAAATATTATATGGAAATTATGAAAGATATTATAATATTGTAATTTAATTGCTTAAATTATTTAACAAACTTACATTCCTTTTCTCATTGGTCTTAATTTGGCTCTTATAGTCTTAAAATCTGGACGATCATCCGGATTTTCTGCCCAACAATCTTCCAAACAATCTCGAACGAAATCGAAATTATTTTCCAACAGGTCTAAGGGTGGCCTATATGAAAATTTAATATTTTACAGAAATTAAATAAAACCATAAAAATTATTTCTACAGATACTATTTGATATAAACTCAAATCTCATATTACCTGAACGGATTTGAACCATCTTGCGGACAGTAAATAATTTTTCTCAGAATATCCGACACCCCGAGTCCGTGGTTTTCTCCAAAAGGACCTTTTCGACTATGCAGTTCATATAGGATTATCGAAAATGAATAAACATCCCCTTTCTGAGTTCCGAATGATATTTGAATGGAAGAATTGTAACACCGTAAGAGCTCCGGTGAAATGTATAAAAGTCCTAAAGAAAAGCATTGTTATATTTTTACATAAAACTAAATACATAAATATAATACAACATACTCGTTTAAAACATTATCATTGCAATATTCAATTGATTTTTTGCGAATGATTATTATCGTACACACTTGATCGGTCGAAAAAAAAATAAAACCGCATTATCATTCAAGTACTACACTACCTTCACATTTGCAATCGACTTCGTCATCCTTTTGAAGTCGGAAGTCGTGCTGGAGAAAGTGATGCGGAAAATCTTCGCAGTCTTTTTTGAACTCCTGAAGACCGAAATCAGTAAGTTTCAATACCCACCTGGAGTCCACCAAGCAATTAGACGACTTCAAATTTCCGTGGTATCTCAATGGCGAATCGTGCAAGTACAACATCCCCTGTAAACATTCAAAATCCGTAAGGTATCTTCAGGGCACTTCAAAGCCGTACCGAGACAATAATATTAAACGGTTTGTATCTACATGTACGTACCCGTATTATATCAGCTACCAATGAGGCAACAAACATGTTATCCAACTTGACGTCTTCATTTTCTAAAATATCCTGAAGCGCACGAAACATTTTAATCGACGGCAATTATTAAAAGAACGCCGTTGATTACACTTTACTTACCTTCAAGCTACCCCGATTGCAGTATTCGGTCACGATGCAAATGTTCGGAGGATCCGTGCACGCTCCGATGAATCCGTTCAGGTTTTCGTGTCTCAAATCTCGCATCTGAAATCAAAGTTAATTTTTCACCATTTCGTGATAGTCGCATTCAATAGTTTAGATGTACACGGATCCCTTACACGTAACCTACAAGTTTCTCGAACAATAAATGAGAAAAACGTGTAAGTACCGTCGTAAGAATCGATGATTATTAAAACGCAATACGGTTTAATCCGTTTGTATTCGCACGCATATACCTACATTCTCTACGACATAGCATGTTTCCACTATAGTATATATATTTAGGTATGTTACGCCGAATATGAGAATTTTTCGATTTCATGAAAATCGGCAACTTTTCTGTTATTTGTTGAAATTAGCAACGTCGTTGCCAAATTTTATAATATGACCACCGGTTTCATGGAATCGAAAAAATTTAACTGCTGAGCTTATGATAATTATAGTTGTATGTTCTTACAGTTATCAAATTCTTGAATTAGCAACGGCCTTGCTGATTTCAAAAAATCAGGGCAGTTTCACGAGTACAGCGTAACATATATAAATACGATTTATCAGTTCCTGAACGACTTTCCGAAGATCTCTGTATTCAAAAGTCGATTTCTATGGGATTTGTTCACTAATATTAACGGGTGTAGTATATAATATGTATTGTTAAATCAGTAAATTAAAAAACTATCGAACGAATTCCGTTTCAAGATGTTAATAAAGAAGTTTTCAGTCTTTATAACGTATTACAATTAATACGTAGCGCGATTTTTTCTACATTGCATTTCATGAACACTAAAATCGACCCGTAAACGAAAGACTTAAGTGAATTGGTGCCCAAAATACTTACCACTTTGAGTTCTTTTTTCATGGCTCTGGTTATGTCGATGGACTTTTTCTTTACGTTTTTGATGGCGAACACGCGACCTTTATAAATGCCGACTGTGGTAAATATCGACGAATAACGAAAATCTGCATCCGGGTTGGAGCTTAAAGATACTTGGCTTGTCCGTATTAATGGGTGCAGTGCCTTAAAAAAATACACGTGATAAAAAATAACGTTAGCCGTTTACACAATAAAACCGTAATGAGAACAGTGTGCTGCTATCTGATGGTGTATTTGACTAGATTAAAACGAAAATTTGATGTTATTTCTACAGAATGATCAACGAGAATTTATTTTGTAATTCTTAATTCTGTTTTAACTTTTTTATGATTAAAAATTTAATTTTATACAAATTTTTTTAAATATAAATTAACCTTTCAGTAAAACTATTTGAAAAAATTAAGCTTAGAAAAAATTATGTTTCATATGGTTTATTATAAAAAATGTTTACAGTCAAGCTACTTAATTACACGAAACATTTTATTTTAAATACTTTTTATCAAACTGCAGTTATAACTTTAGTCTTTGTAGTCATATTATTTATTAAAAAAAAAAAATAAATAAATTTTATGGTTTTAATTCAAACATGGTATATATTCATATGCATTTAGTAAATTCTTGTAGTGTACTCAATAAATGTTTTATTTTTCAGTACATAGCTTACATCAGTTTTGTTCGTTTAAAGTGCACTAGATCACGCTGCACGTTCGACGGGCGTACGATAAAATAATTTATTAAATGCAATAGATGCACAATTCGCTTATGTACCATTACATGTAAACAATACGGTACGTTTTGTCAAATATGATTTATATCATTATTTATTAGTGTAATAAATGGCCAATTTTGTGGTTAAAAGAGAAACATTCAAACGTATAGCACAGACCATTATGTTATCGAGTTCTTCACTATGTATGTCAAACCATATTGACATTGTTGATTTATTATTTTTAATCTCAAAAATGTTCTATCGATTACGTTCCTACGATTGTAATCGCTCTTGGACCCATTAACGACTTCTGTCGCACAACCGATAACGGGCAATATTTCGCATTGTTTTTGTGATATTTAGGAATTACGTTCAACTATTTTTTCACCAATAAATGCAAGATTTACTTCTAGACAATTTTGAGTAAATGTGGTACATGGCACAGGATTGTCTGCAGTAGATTCAGTGAATCAACAACTTAAGCGATTGATTTTTTTTTTTTTTTTTTTGTGAATTCTAGAGGCACCATGATTGATTGGTTTTTTATCTTAAGTATTTATTTTTATAAATATGCATTGCGTATGTGTATATTTTTGATCAACTAATAATTTGATATTTAGATGACATTAAATATTTTTAAATCATTAAATTAATTAATTGATTAACAGTTAATATTAGATTCCGATTAATTGCAAAATAAATATAATGTGCAAAGCATTTTTTTTAGTACGTTTATGTGAAATAAAAAGTTTCAGCAGTCTCTATACGGAAACTTTTTGAATATTACATAATAATTTCTATTTGTCTGTTTTATTAAAAATGAAATGAAAAAAACAAAAAATATTACATTTAATCTTTGCACGGTACAGTAACATTTAGGTAAAAAGTATTTAAGTACTTAAGATAATATTGAATCAAAAAAAATAATCACTAGTAATGACAGTATCAAACTGAAAGTCAAAATGGAAAAAAATGACGCCTATAAGATTTTGAAGCCTATAAATACGACACTAAATATGATCGTATTTTATTAAATCGTATCAAATTCATTTTTATTATTTTTTTTAGCCGCGGCATATTCGAAGACGAATACATGAATAAATGCAATCATAATTTAAGAAATAAAACTAACTGTACGGTTTAGATTGATTTATATTTTTTTATTAAAGGCAAAAAATTGTTCGCAATTTTATCGTCTGCGGTCTCGATTACGCGTCGTGTTTTCGATCGATCACTGAATCGTAAACTTTTCTAGTTATAATGGCCAAAAAAAGAATTTTGTACAGCCCCATAAACTTTATGGATGCGATCCAAAATTCGAATAAGTCACAGGATGCAAACGTAATCAAAACTACTCCCGGCGATTTATAGACGATTATTAACGTTTGCTGTTATTTTTAATTCCATTGGCTAATACACAATTTTTAATGGTTTACAATAATAACATTTAATTGTCGAGCTTAACCATTCCAAGAGATTGCTATAAGTTTGTTAAACTACGCTACTCCGAAAACAAAACATTTAAAATAACTAAAACTGTCAATAAAATTATTTCAAATCTAATCAAGATCTTTCGTTCGATTATAGGTAAATGAAAAAAAAAAATTTGGCTTACCATCGATATATTAATGTATAACACTTAACGAACCGTGCGCATGTCCAAATGAAGTTAATTTCGGAATTGCTTGAATTAGACAGTCGTTCGAGTGCTCTAGTTTTTAACACTAGATACTTGCATTGTTGGTATCAATAAGCTCGCTTTAATCAATGAATTATATGCAAAGTTGAAAACCATTTTTCTAGAATGTTTGGCATTACCAAGAACTGTAGAACAGAAGAATGTATACCGATTATAATCAGTATGAAGAATAATCATTGACATGTAACTGAATACAAATTGATTATTAAACCATATTTTAATTGATTGTTTACTTTCAATTTTTTGCGATAGTATCGCTAAACAAAAAGTGTATAATTTATTTAAATTAAACAGTATAAGTATAGTAAATATATTATACATAACATGGAATGTAAATTTAATGATATATAATTATAAATTTGTACTATATAGCTCGTTACTATTAATCAATACTAAAAATATATAAATACTTAGGTATACAATCATCAAACACTTTCATCTAAATATATCAACTCCTTAAACACATGGTCCGTGGTTCGTTTCCATTAATATATTTGAAAAGTAAATTTAGAAAATTAAACATTATGCATAAAATATACGACATTTAATTTAAAATTATAATGTACCTATATTATAAAAAATATCGTACAAAAACGTGCAGCGATGATTTTAGTGGGCTGTCAATTTTTTAATTTTTATGTTTCTTTTTCACACACACACAAATATATATATTTGTAAGGCATTTGAACGTGAAAAAAAGTTGTTTAGAGAATGTTGGGATGTAATGTAAAAACTTAGTTACCAACTGAAAGAAAAAATATTATAACGTGACTTGAAAAAAAGAATCATTAGAAACGATGCGTTTTATAAGTAATATTTTTTTCTCATAAAATAAAAGTAGAAAGTAATAATATAAAAAATCAGCAATATTACAATCACACAAATGTCTGTGATTTGATTTTTACGTACGCACACCGACTGCAAACGTGTGTTGTTCTATAAACCGATTTGTGATTTGAACGACGAAGCAAATATCATCGTCCCTCCCACTCGGGGAATGGAAAAAATAACGTGTTATCTCTATTCTATCCTTTTAACACTATTGCGTTTCGTTTTTCTAATGAATAATTATTATTTTCATTATTGCTATCAATTATCATTTATTATTATTATTGCGTTTCAAAATCCGCTATTTTCCCATGATGCTCGAGCATGGGTGTAATATCGTTCGTATCCTGCCAGTCGCTCACTCTGGATATTTTAGATGAAGTGCTGCCGTTCTCGGTGTCGTTGATCTCTATATCCTTGTAGTCGACTTTCCACAGCAGACTGTCCAGCTCTTGTTCGTACTTCCAGTTCCTGTAGAACACCAGTGAGATCACGGCTAGCACCAACAGCAACGTGCCCGCGACGATCGACAGTATTTCCGCGGTGTGCGCTAAAACGAGAACGGCACAACATTATTAATTAACCGTATAAAATGCGCTCAAAAACAATAATAAAAACGATATTATTATTATTAATAATAATGTCGTTTTTATTAATAATTGATTAATCATCGCAGCGGAAAAATGATTTACTGATGCATTTCTGGCCACGATATCCACAAGCTGGTTCAGCCACGGGCGGCTTCCCGGATATCCACTCGACGTTCGTCACCAGAGTCAACTCCTGTTATCAATTAATTACAGATTACAAAAATCGTTCGTTTGTTATATGGAATTTTTTTAATTTTTTTATTTATTTATTATTATTATTATTTTTATTTTTTTTTTCGTAATTCGCGCACGGACGCGCAAACATGAAAGAGAATACATTTACCGGGTTTCTAGTCAGGTTTCGCAGTTTAGTGAATCTACCAGCTGGAAATAAGCCATATCCTTTAGAGGCGTCCAGTAGCCGTTGCCGCGATACCAACGTGTAGTTCCCTTCTGCGTCCCCGTTCTCGTCCATGTACACTTCGTATCTGCAATATTTTCGTTTTGAAATTTCTCATTTAGAATATTATTTGCAGGCTGCATTGTTGGCAATACTACGTAGTTCGATATCGCCACCGTGGTCCGAGATATTTGTCGATAATTTATCAAATTTACGTTTGGTTATTAAAAAATCGTTTAAGTGGACAAACTGCAGTACTACGAATTAATAAAGGATATCAAAACGCTCTACGTAATGAACGCACATTATAATATAGAGAGGGTTAATAATTAATAATCGAAAAACGCCATTTATAACCTTACTTGAGTGGGTATTAAATTAACCATCGTGCACTGTTACTACACATATTTATTATTCGTATGTTCATATATATATATATATGTGTTTGCATATATTCATATGATATAATATTGTTGAATATAAACTATTTTTCTTCGTATACATACATGTTTTATAAGAAATGAATCGATATCTACAATAAAAATAGCGTTTATCGATATCTAGTTCACATTTCAACAAATTTCAAAACTTTTTCCACTGTCAAAATTTGACTTTCCTAACTTTTACAGTTATATCCAGCTTTTTGGTCGATTTTTATAATAATGTTGAATCCTTAATACAGAGGCGTATTTAAACTTACTTCTAGGGGGAGGGCGACTCAAATTTTTTCTTTATTTCAGGCTCAAAATTTACAAGTAAAATTTTTGATAATATTTATATCAGGTGAATCCTTAATATTTGTGGTTTTTTTTTTTTTTTTTTTTAATCTAATGCCGGATCCACTTAGAATGGTCTTTTGTGTAGTTCTTTTTTAACACCTATCTGTGTTTTGAAAGTTTCGCTTGTGTTTTATCTAATTTTTCACTAAGTATGGACTGGGTCTTCAATCAAAATAATATATATTATTTATCGTTATGGGACATATAAACTTTATTAGCAATTAAGCGTTTAACGCTATAAATAATTTAATCGTTATACAAATTTAAACGTTTAAAAAATTTTCCATTTACCGTTATTGATAATTAAAACGTTATGAAAAATTTAGCGTTTTGTGTTACATAAATTAGTGTAAAATTTGAAACGTTTTCAAATGTAGTAATACTATAAAATAAATCATAATTTTTGTTTTTTAATAAAATACCCATTACTTATATAAAAATTGTCTTGGTCTAAAAATTCTCGGGGAGGGGCGATTTCCCCAATCTCCCCCTTAAATACGCTACTGCCTCAACAATGATGACACAGTTAATAGAGGAAAATACCATTTTCATCATTTATACAATTAATTAGAAAATATTAACTTACATTTGTATTTTTTTCTAAAAAAAAACATTGATGAATATAAAAATTGTAACACATATCATAATGTCAAGTGACTACTTTTAGGAATATTACTATAAGGCAAAACTTTCGAACTATAATCGAAATGAAACACTTTAGATCGAGTTTCATTGAGCAATAAAACTGTAACATAATAAAGTGTCTAAATACAGTGTGCAGGTATTATTATTTACAATATAGTTACATCGAACGGTTTTATAGTAGTTATCATCTAGTATTTTATTAAAAAAATATATTAAAAAAAAATAATCAATATAAGTTCATGTACACGGTGCGTAAAAAAAATAAAATAAAATAAAATAGTAAAAGAGCTTGATGGTCGTTAAATCGAAGTCAATGTGATTAACAGTTCCTCCGCTGAACCTTAAAAACTAGGGAAACACATTTTTAATAATATTTCAGTTGTATAACGATTGAACTAATAGAAATCTTGTGAAAATAAATTACCAAAACGTATTATAGAAATCATTTTTAGCAGAGAGATTTATAATTTCTACATTCATATTGGTGTTGATAGCTCGTTTATGCAAAAATCAAAAATAAATAAATAAAACAAGAACAAAATAAAACACTTTTGTACATGAAGGGCGTGGGCTCCTAAAGCAAATGCATAAATTACTACATGTCACCCACGACACCTAAGGCTCTTATACTATTATCACAATCAGGTCAGTACCGTTATATTGTGGCGTTATAATAAACCAAAAGCCGTTGTGAGGTGTTAGTCTACATTAATGTCCGCCTACAGTATTATTTTTCATTCGGTGTGAAACGCAGTTTTATTAAAAACTCCCGAATACCATTGTCGACATATATTTTTAATTAATTATCGAGATTTAAGTAGACTTGAAAAAAATGAATATTAAATAACTTCCTTAGCAGAAGACGAACGGAAAAGCTTTTAAATAATAATGTTCAAAACGACAAAAGATGAAATATTTCGTTTTATCTGTAAATTTTTGAAACCGTAAAATATAAAGAATAATTTGATAAAATTGTGGTGTCATAGAGTAAACCAAATCGATAATTATAATTAAATGTATACCTATTCGTACTCGCATGATGATGAAATTGTGTGATATCAACACAATAAAGACAAAATGCACGCGATGTTAAGGACAAAAAAATTAATATATTCAACGGTCGGAACGTCGAACCAATAACAACAAATAACCAACAAATATCAAGGGATAACAAGGGGTACAAAAAAAATAATTTAAAAAAATATATTAAACTATCGAAAAAAATACGATGGACCCGTTTTCGTAACAGCAAACCAGTGGCGTACCTGTGGGGGGGGGGGGGGGGGGGGGGGGCAACAGGGGAATATGCCCCCCCCCTCGAGAAGTTTTTTGATACCATAATGCAAATTAATTGTTCAGCTTAAATAATGTAAATTATAAATATTTTTAATTTTCACTAATTTTAATCATGTTTTATATCAAAAGTTTTTGATATCACTTATCAATGTAATATAAAATATCAATATTCGACCGAATTGGGATTAGGAGTGATTGTCACATATAGTCACTTTTTTATAATGTAATTATCATTGATATCAAGTAATCAACATGAGTTTTAAGTATTAAGTAATAATTTATAATAAAGTTTCAGATTATATTGTAACCATAAAAAGTTGTACAATTAATTTATGTCTCCCTCTCAAAAATGTTTCACAAGTACCTCACTGCAGCAAACCGTACATAAAGTCTGATGATAAACATTATACACACAATTTATAGGTACCTCAGACTACTTAAGAAGGAGTTCGCGTACGAAAGATATATTGCGACGTGCGTTGACCAGTATTACGATAAGGAAACACGAAACCCAAGATTTACACGAAAGTCAAACATACACAATCGTTTAGTGCACACAATAGGCGAGAAAATCGTTAAAAATAACGTGTTAATAGCCTAGGCGTGATGTTCTGCGTCGTGATAATATATATTTAAATGTATAAAAGTAGTTCCAGTGCAATATTATCATTCAACATGTCATTTTCGCGCGAACCGAGTACAACACGCTGTACAAACTGTCGTCGTATAACAGTATATTATCGTGTTTGCATAATGTGGCCATGGTTAATTAATTAAAAAAATAATAGAGAGAAAGAGAGATAGAATGAGAGGGAGGTAGAAAATAGAACGACGAAATAATAAATAAAGGTCGGTCCGTTGTTGCAGCCGTTATGATAAATGTATACACGCGGCAAAAAGTTCTCGTAATATACTACAAGCGTCACCACTGATTCGGTTGTAAAAGCCACGAAGTATACGTACATGTATCCATGTATACATAGTATACATACACGTGTATCCATGCACGACTACTAAACGGTGACTGAGGCACGCGCCCGAAAGAAAGATAATGAAAATGAGTAATTTTATTTCGTTACGTTTTGTTGTAATTCGTTCATTAAATGTGCAAATAGATGAAATTGATTTTAAGTATAAGAATCGTAAATAAGAGAAATAAAATTAAAATATAATATTCGTTAAACTATATGAGTACGTTTAAACATACTTCTTTAATTTCAAACGGTATTTATTTATTTTTTTTAATTTTTTTTTATTTTTTTTAATGTTATATATTATTAATTTATTTGTAGCATAAAATAATAATTTACAACTACATATATAACTGTGCAGTGCAAATTTAAGTAAATTATTTAAATAAATACGATTCCATCCTCCTACAAAGTATAATATAAGCAGTTATTGTCAATACATTATAACTTATATTCCGAAGCGACAAATATATTAACTACTGCTAAATGTTATTAATAAATGTGTTTTTCTTTTTATGAAATAAAACAGTTATTTATTGAGCCAAGTATTTTGAAGTGTCCAAAGAACGTTAAAGCTTACATAATCCAAAATCTGGTTGAAATGTTAAGTTTTAATTTCCAAAACAGCTTTATATATTTTAAATGATACCTGGGATGTTTTTTTTTTTTTAGTTTATTTCCTCGTCGCCAAAATCTGAGAAACTTATAACGTACACCTGCGTTTAAGATGTAACAAAGAACGTCTTTATAACACATTTCAAACATTTATTTTCGTGCAACACAAAATTGAAAATTATTATTTATTCGTAATGTACCTATATGGCGCGTACAAAAACGTGTCATTACGAGGAATACATAAAAGGACGGTATTTCTGTTGACGGTCAAAACTTTTCAAAAACACACTTTACTCGTATAGTTCTCGGCATACGGTTATATGAAAACATCTTGTAAGATAGTTCTTTTTATTTTCCGTTTGTCTCCCGTCCACTAAACTTTCTCGATACAAAACTAATATTTTTCACTTTTTAACGCGTTTCGCTTACCCCATTGCACTTCTGTAGTGTGAACCTTTGAGTTTTGCCATCATCGCCGTACCGTTCCTCGGGTCGTCACCGCACTCGATCAGCTCCAGCACGCTTCTCGCATACAAATGAACCGCGTCATACAGATACGCTGCCTCGACAGAAATCTATAAATTTCCAAAAAAAAATTGATTTTGAATATTTTTATTACATTTGCATGTCTACGGGTACAATGAAACATAACGGTGCGGTTCACATCGGGATATTTTGACATAATTAAACTATCATATTGTATATAATTTAAATATTTGAATATAAGTTATAGTATGTATATATATATACGGAATGGACGAATATTCGATGGCTTACTATTGGTAATATTATAATATGTTGCACGGAAAACCATGTTTTATAGGAAAATCGCAGAGTTATTAAAAACACCGTACTTGATTTAGTTTCCAATAAATCACCGGAGCAAAATAAGTAAAGTTACTTGGTGATTTATAGTAAATGCAATACCGTTTACTTGAGGTTTATATGGTATGTGTGAGTGTCATGTGTTATTAACTCTTTTAGACGATTTCTCATGTAGATCATTATTTCTCGGACTGTAGCAGCAAAAATAATACTATAATATTCGTTATGATTATGTATATTCCACGTATATAACAATGACGGGTCGACATCTCTCCATTATTATTATCATGAATATTGCAGATGAAAAAGCTGACGATCGAAGAAATACGCAACACCGTACAGGTAATATATCGGTATTTAATAAACAATGTACGTGAAACACACGTAATAATATTATACGTGGGCTGATCTGAAGCTTGCTTAAGAGGGGGAGACGAATAGGAATATTATTACTATTATTAAATTATATATTACACTATATTTTTATTATCTTGAAACATGCTACCTGTACAATGACGTACATGGTATTCGATGGTAAATATTTATAAATATTTAACATGCACGTCTCTGTATGATGGTTTACATATGTTTTAAATCTGGGATAAAAATAAAAGCCCAAGGGAAAGAGGGTGATCATCAAGTTGCTCCCCGTCCCCCATAAATCCGCCCCTCATATTATGTACCGGAGTGCCGGGTGAGTCCACGGAACAGGCGTGTTATGTGTGTGTTTCACGTGTACGATATATCATTACGCTTCACCGCTCGCGTTATTTTCACCCGACCGCAACGGAAAACGTTCACTAATTACAATCTCAGCGACCGAACGTCGTAAGTGTTACCGCAGTCGTTTATGTATTGTTTTCCCGTCGCATTAACCGTAAATCACCGCGGGACGGACACGAAAGAGCTCGCGCGGTCGTCGTTTGAACAAGGTCCGGCGGATCGGCGGCGCACGCTTTGGTCGAAAAACGTCTGTTGAACCTTACGCCAAATGAAACGAATTGCGTACGGAGGCCGTTGGTAACGTTGTTGGCTGACGATGATCGTAAACCGTATCGTTGCGATCGGATTGCTGCGCTGGTTTCCGTTCGCCGTCGCAGGGGTACATACGTCTCAGGGGAGGCTCCAGAGCCTTGGTTAGGGAGGAGGGGGCCTAGTTATAATTTTACAAAATCTTATAACAAAAAGAAAACAACAATTTAGTCCGTACAAAAATGTGTGCTACGCAATTCATGTTTTGAATATTATAAAATGATAACATCGTAGTATCATACGGTACAGTTAAAAAGTGATCTATAAATGGAATGAATAAAAATATTTTGTAATAATCCTCAAGCAAATCAACCTGGATATTGCATCTGTTTTTTTGCTTATTAGTTGTATGAGGAATAGATATTTCAATGTTTAAGGCATCACATTTGGATTTTACATTATTAAATATAATTTTAAATTCACTTTTATCATTTAATCTTAGTGATTTAATTATATTTACTACGTCATCAACGGTTTGAATAGCTTCGACCAGATCTATATTTTTTGTCTGAAGAAACTTAATGGTAAACTCAAACTTAACACGTGTCCCAGTTTATAAGTTGCTAGTATAAATTCTGGTTTTCTTATAGCACACAGCAATTGGTATACTCCTGATGAAGCATCCTTATCAAGCCATATAAAAAATTTCTGATAAACTATCAACTATTGTATCAAATAACTCGAGGAAAATAATTATTGAGTCATTTTGGTCTACCCATCTTGTTAGACATAACAGTTTCAAACGGTTATGGGTCGAAGAAGAACATACACGTCCTATTAATTCGGATAAAACATTATTTTTTGGGGAGTATTTAAAAAAATACAAATTTATGATGAGAGAAAAAACCGTTTTCGTACATGATAAATTGATCACATGGAATATCGATAATCTAATAATCAATTAGATGTTATGTACACATTATTATATTGTTATGTACCATTTTTCAAATAAGAACGAACCGTATGTGTATGCAGTGCTCGAAGTGGGAGGATACGGAGGGATGGCATCCTTCTACTTTTTTGTATTTACAGTTTTCATCCCTCTACTTGTTTTGACTAGAATAACGCATTTCTCCTGAGACTTTTAAAATGATATACTTATTATCATTTTTATATTTATATATACTTAATACATTTTTTTTTTCGGTGAAAATAATTATTTTTAACAGTCAGGCCTGAGCGCCTAGCTTATTGTGTTATTTAGTATAAGCCGTTTTGTAACCCTTATTATACTCGTATTTAGAACCACGGATTAAGATAATATACCTTATGTGAACTATAAAAAAAAAATACAAAAAAAAAATATTATAGGTGCACAAAGTGTGAAGAATGTTATGGTGATATCAGGAAATCTGAATTGTAAGGCATCCCTCCACTTATCTTGAGCCATTTCGACCACTGTATGTATGCATCGTTATCAGCCACGAAGGAATAACACAAAAGAGTAATTTTTTGTTCTATAACTGATCATCATCAGTTGTCTACCACGGTCAACTATCAACGACGCTGTGCATACAGGGAATTGAATAATAAAAAAAATTATTAAATAAAAACTAATGGGGGGGGGGGGGTTACAACACCCAAAACCCCCCTTAGCTACGCCACTGATCATACCATAATATATTTGATATTAATATAGTTTATTTCTAGCCTTATTGGTTCTCCATAATATAGATAGCAGGTACATCGTATACACCGTCATACCTCTATGGCTCTATCTACACACTTGTGCGTGTCGTATAATAGTCCATATTATAATATGCATTTTTTTATAAATACGGTACGGGTTTGGGGAGGGGGCACGGCCCCTAGCCCCCCCCCCCCCTGGAGCCACCCCATGGTACGTCTACACTGGTCTAGTATCAGAATCGTGTACTATATTTATGACGTTTATGGAAAGCGCGTGCGAACAACGTCCGCGGTATCGACGAATATGTCTCGTTAATCGATATCGAACTATTTTTTCGTAAAAATAAAATTAAAAAAAAAAAATAATCTGCTCTCATATGATACACGACAAAAACCGTTTCTGGAACTCGTTACGGAGCACCCGCACTCGTGCCATACTAGTTTCCAAAAAAACGCGGTCTCCATATTGTGCAGCGTAATGTACCTACCGATATAATGCACACATTCATGCGAGTACCTAATCAACGCGCGTTGCAGCTACATCAGTATAGGTGTTGTGAACGTATTTATATGCATATATGCATGAGTGTGTGTGCGGCGTGCGAAACATAATTACGAACAATTCGTTTTGAAACCAACGCGACGCGATTTCGGTTTTGCATTCGCAACGTTTTCGATTTATGAATACTATTACGTTCTTGAGTAGACCGATATTGCGAAAGCGTGTTATAACGATGTGCGTTCAGCTTTAAACACCCTTTCAAGTTTTGATTCGGTTCAATACGCAATACTTATTTCACTCAAAACTAAACTAGAACGCTTTTAAGAAGTGTTGTCGAGAATCCGTTTACGCGTATAAATGTATAAGTTTATACATATAAACTTAAGTACGTATGAAGCATGCCGTATACGATGTTTTTTATATCTGATCTTTAGATGTGTTTATATTTGAATAAGAACACTTAGACGTGGCCGTTTAGACGCAGGGATGCAAGAAAACTAAAGTCATCGCATAATGACTAATATACTTATATAGGCCCTGTGAAGAATTTTATCAAGGGGGTGCATCATACATAGTAATTTCTAAAGAATGCTTAAACTATTTAAATTAAATACGTTGGCATATTTTTTCAAATTGTAAGACAGTACAGAGTTATTTTTTTTTTCTACGGCTAAAAGATAATGCGTGCTACTAAACAATTTGATAATAATAATAATAGCCTCTATCCTACATTTTTAAATTGTACGTATTCATTTTTTTTAAAAAAACAAGAGTTGTGCAAATGCATCCTCTTACAACCCCATGATTATACCTATACTGTATCGTATAATTTCATATATTTTAATAAAAAATATGTAATAATAAAAAAAAATTAACAAATAAAACTATAAATTAATTAATATTGAAATTAATGATATTACAAATGAAATAATATTAATTAAAACAAAAAATAATACGAATATTTGTTTATTTTTTAACGTTCAAATGTCTACGTCTAAAAGACCTGAATCGGTTCATATTATGTGTGTACATTACAATCATTATCAATTTATCAATGCATAACTAATAACTATTAATCAAAACGTCTCATCGGCAGTGGGCCGTGGCTGATCGTTTTGAAAAATAAAGTTGTACAAGCAGTAATAAATTCATATTAAATATCAAGTAAACATAATAAATAAATAATAATTCAAAAGTATAACAGAACGATCAAAATGGTACAGGGATCTATACTTCGTCCTACGTTTTACGTCACTAAAAGCGGAGAATAGAGTATTATAGAATAGAGCGTTTGAGTGAATTAATGCCCGATGTTTAAATCCATAAGAAATATTGAAATTAATGTTTAAAATGTACTGTTTTTTTTTTTTTTTTATTAGCTTTTAGTAAGAACTATGACAGCTCGACACTTAAAGATAACACAGTTAGACATTAACATAAGAAAACAATAAAAGGTGACAATTGACAAAAATTATAAGTATATAAAAAAAAAAATTTACATTGTATCAATATGGGTGCTTTGATAATAGTGTGAGAAAAAAGTATAAATAACTTAAATTGCAAAGCAAGCTTCCAATAAGAAAGTAA